AAAATGAGAGTACCCCACAGAAAACCTATCCTTAAAGCTCCTGCTACTCTCGAGAGCTTAATTTCCAAGTTGTGTCCCTACCTGTGCTATCCAAGCATCTACTCTGCTCCAGGGAGCCCCATCAGGCCCGGGGGACTGCCTTGGCCCTGAAATTCACCGCTGGGAGGGACTAGTCAATGACCTAGGAGCACCTCCATCAGGTGCCCGCGTGAAGGCTGCACATCAAGCCCCCTGGGGGTGGGAGTGGTGGGGAGGTGAGATGCCATGACCTAAGAATTGGGCAAAGGCCGAAGGGGTGGGATTGACACAGTTCCTTGAGCAAGGGCAGGACCACACAAGGGAGTGGGTGAAAGGGGAAGTTGGTGGAGTGGTCGCATTCTCAGTTACGAAGTCACCCATTCAACTCGTGGTCACAGCGCAGGATAGATTGGGCGGCGGGGGAGTATCGAGTGATGGAGTGAAGAGCCATGAGCCCAGGTAGAAAACGTTGGCTTCCGGGCTGGGGCTGTTCTTGAAGCAGGACTGATTGCATGGGCATGCATCCCCTGCCCTGGAAGGCGCCAAGCTAGGCCGACTGCTCTGCGGTCCCCGTCTTGATCGTCCTAATTTTTGAACAAGGGGCCCCTTATTTCCAGGCGTTGGACCTTACAAACGATTTAGCTAGCCCTTCTCCAAAGCAATAAAGAAACATTGAAAGGTTTTGAAAAGGATTAGAATCACAGGGTAGAAAGTTCACTCTGCCTGCTTCCCGGGCCTCAGAGTTCCCGGGACCCACTCTGGGGAACAGTGATTTAGTGTCTGCAGGAAGCCCCAGCTTGTGCACCATACGAGCTCCCAGGTGAGGCTGGCACCTCTGAAAGCCTAGCATTTGAGAACTAGTGACATAGAGTAGGGTGTGCAGCGAGCTGGCTGAAGGCTACAGGTCATGCCTTTGATCAAAAGGGCATATCCAGAGGACCGAAGGAGCGAGGGCAGGTGGAATGTCCGAAAAAGACCAGTTGAAACATAGTAAGGAGGCAGACTCCAGAGAAAATGAAATCGGCTGTTGGTGAGGTCTAGGAGACGGTGGAGGGAGTCTTGGTGGAATTTGCTATTGGGAACACCAGAGGTGAGTTCACTGGTAGGCATGCCAGCAGAAACGTCCAAACTTTCGTGTATCCGTTTGTAACTTTGTGGTGATGCATGGGTCATATGTGTGGTTGAGGGCCACCAAAGGATGGCTTTGAGGAGAGAGAAGCAGTTGGCCCAGCACACAATTTTGGGGGGGGCCATCAGAGCCTGAGTGGGAGGATAAGCGAGTGAATGAGATCAGAGGTCAAGGAGAATCTGAAGGAAGCAGAGTCACCATGGTTACGAGACTAGAGCCCTTGAGAAAGGATATTGATGCAAGGTCACTGTTCTCTATCACGTTGAGGATGCTGGTGAACCCAAGTGGGACATTGGAAGTAGCAGTAGCGATGATAGGTTCTGAAAAGGCAGAGTGGTGTGGTGCTTTGAGGCCCACGGTGGGCCCTTTAGACTAGGCGTGCCTCTAAAATAGGAGAAAGGGGTCCCTTTACGAGGTACTTAAGATCTTTGCCCGATGATCTTCATGGAGGAGGTACATACAACCTTCAGCCTGGCTGCACAAATTTAGCAACCTAAGAACACACACATCTATCATCTCCCTCTTTTATTTTATTTTTTAAATTATTTTTGTGTGTGTGGACCAGGGGTCCAGGCTCAGCTTAGCTGTTTCAGGGTCTTTTAGGTAGCTGCGGTCAAATTGTCAGACGGGTCTTGGGTCTTGCCTGAAGGCGTAACTGGGGAAGGATTAACTTCTGAATTCACATGATTGTTGGCAAGACTCGGTTCTTTGTGGTTTGTTGACCTCACAACAGCGGTTTTAGTTCCTGGAGAGCAGTTGGCTGGCTGTTACCCTCAGTTCCTTGCCAGTGGTCAACTAGAGTCACAATCAATCCCTTGCTGCCTGGGCTGTCCAATCAATGACAGTAAGGGCAAGATTCTGCTGGCAAAATGGAAATTGCAATCTCATAGCCTACTCACAAAGTGATATCTCATCACCTTCACCATATTCTATTGATTAGCTATAAAGTACTGGGTTTTCCTCCACTTACGGAGAGAGGACTACATACACAAGGCACAAATATCAGGAGTGGGTTCCTTCAGGCAGCGTGGAGTCTGTTTGCTACCCAGCCGTAGCTCCTGTTCTCACCCAGGTAACTGAGATCAGCTCTGCAGGGCAGCCGGCTGCCCACTCCACCGTCCCAGTCACCATCAGGATTGTGGACCTCAACAACCACCCCCCAACATTCTACGGAGAGAACGGACCCCAGAACAGATTTGAGTTGTCTGTATTTGAGCATCCACCCCAGGGGGAGATCCTTCAAGGTCTCAAGATCACCGTCAATGACTCAGACCAGGTATGTCGTCCTGCCCACCCACAGATTGCCGGGGCCCCAGAAGGACCTAACTGCCTGAGCCTTCACTTCCCCTGGCGAGGAACAACAATGAGAGAAGCAAGAGGGTGTGCCCAAGAGGGCCAAGTGGGGGAGCAGCTAACCCCAGACACGTTGCTTCGTTTAAAGGCATTCACAATCGATGAGAAAGGAAACACAGGGAGGAAGTGGGATACGCGAGGTTACATTGTGGGGATCACACTCAATGACATGAAACAAACTGTGTATGCACTGTGAAGTGGAAAACGGATCTGCCCTGCAAACCTTCGGGCTAACTCACAATACAAAGTAACAATCAATAAATAAGATTACTCTACCCAACACCAACCAAAGAAAGAAATAAGAACACCTCTGTATTGGACCCACAAAACTAGTTTGTGAGTGTGCCCAGCCAAACACAGCACATTAGTATATGTTTGTTATTTTGCTTCTCAGCATTACTGGCTGGGTAGGGGGTGGACAGCCTTGAACACCTTCTTAATTGGCTAGGAATCTAGATCCTCTGGTCCACAGAAAGGGCAGTGACACCCATCTCCTAAGGTTAAGGTTGTAGGAAGGCTCCTGGCTGGCTTAGCACAAATACATCATGAACTCATGATCTCATTTATCTCCCCTGTTTCTCTCTCCAAACTCTGGTGCAGGGAGCCAATGCCAAATTTAACTTGCGGCTGGTGGGACCTGGCGGCATCTTCCGAGTGGTGCCTCAGACAGTCCTGAACGAAGCCCAAGTCACCATCATTGTGGAGGACTCGGCCGCCATTGACTTTGAGAAGTCCACTGTGTTAACCTTCAAGGTTAGTGGAGCTGCCATGCGTGAGACCCAGGAGCTCCTAGCAGTGGCCGGATTCATTCCTGAGGGGTCCCTCTGACTCCAGTCCCCTCCTGGTCCAATTCCAGCACTTCTCTCTTCTGCTGTGCCCAACTTGGGGAGCACGATGAGGATGGGGAAGGCAAAAGGGGGCTAGACTGAGCCCCACTGAGTTCCTGAGCTTCTAAACAGTCACATTCCCTAGGAACGCATGGGTGTGGAGGCAAGGTTTCAACGGAGAGCGATTGTCCCTCATGTTACCATGGTCACGGGTTAAGGGAGAGAAAGGGTTGGCTCATCGAGATGGATGTTTTCTCCTATGCCTTTCACATCGGACCTCCACACTGCTGAAAACATAGCAGAAGGAGGGAAGATAGTTTTGTCTATTATTTGTGATTGTTTAAAAGTCTAACCATATGTAAAGAATGCATACTATTTTAAAATGTAAACGCAATGAAGGAATACTCCAAGCAAAAACAAATCCATTGGCATCTATTCTAACTCCAGAGACCCTATAGATGTCTGAGAAAGGCGCAAACCGGCCAATTTTAGAGAAACAGATGGCTGCGTCATTCTCCCTTGGAGCTCCTGGGGGTTCAAACTGCTGACCTCTTGGGGAGCAGCTGAGCATTAAACAACTGTGCCCCCAAGGCTTTTAATATAGTGATAGTCCAGCTGAAATGCTTATTTATATTACGCATGTTGCTATAATAACTTGTAATTATAGACACGGATAGCCAGCATCGTGCTTACACGTGAAAATGCTAATAAAAGCACTCTGAGTGCGGAACAGTGGCCTGCGGCCACCATGCGATTGAGCAGCGTTCCCAGATATGTACCCAGGGAAATTGGATAAAAAAGGAAGTAAGAGGTGCAAGCATTAGAACGGAGACAAAAGCACCATTATTTGTAGTTGATGTGATTGTTGGCTTAGAAAACCTAAGAGAAATGATTGAAAACCTGTTAGACGCATGGCAGAATTGCTAACATGACTGATTAGAGAGTGAATACACAACATACAATAATTTTCACACGTACACAAAGTACAGCAATGAGAAAACATAATGGATTAAGTGACTCTCTCTTATAATAATAATCACAGGAGCAATTTGTTGTCAATTATCATGCCAAGAAATAGGTATTAATCTAAATGACAAAAATTGTAAAATTTCACCGAAGGATATAAAGAAGGGGGGAAAATGTACAAGAAAGACCTTGTTAAAATGAAAAACTCACTCTCCTTAGATTAACAAAGAATTCAAGGCCTCCCCGATGAAATCTTAGTTAGGATTTGGTGGAGGGAGCTGGAAGGGTCTTGGGAAAATGTACCCTGTTTTGTGTATGTGGAGAAATAAGTGGTAAGAATGGAGTCAGACCTTCTCAGGAAAATGAAAAACAGAGACTATTGGGAAGGGACTTACTCTCACAGATGTAGTATTTTAATAATTTTAAAACCGGGACTAAGAAAGACTCAAGAAATAGGGTCAAATACAAATTTGTGCTTGAGTGTCTTTGAAACAGCCTTGCGTGTCAGTGGAGCAAATGAGGTCTTTATCCACGCGTGGCGCAGGAGACACTGATGTTTACAAGAAGAGCTAGCATGTCGTGCAGGTGATGGCAGAAATGGCTGGTCTGCAACTGAGAGTGAGAGACTAGGCACTGAGGGGCTGGCCAGCTCTGGGACACAGGAGTTGGGATTGGACAGGAGTGGGGTTGGGGCTGGGGTTACCTCACGGGCATTGCACCCAGACTGCTCCTGGCTTGCTTGCTTTCTCAGCTCCTGGCCATTGAGGTGAACACTCCAGAGAAGTTCAGCTCTACAGCCGATGTGGTGATCCAGCTCCTAGACACCAATGACAATGTCCCCAAGTTCACCTCCAACTACTACATCGCCAGGATCCCTGAAAATGCTCCAGGGAGCTCCCACGTGGTGGCTGTCACGGTGGGTTGAGAACTGATTCAGGGATTGGGGAGAGAGGTGGATATCCATCGCCGGAGTAGGATAGATCCAGAGTGACCTTGCAAAGTCAGGCAAACTTTGATTTAAATGAAAAAAAAAACAACAAAAAACACCCGCTTTAGCTGTGTTCTTGAACACACTATTCACCCTCTCTCAGCCTTGGCTTCTTAATGGGTGGAATCGGGCTGCTAGTACCGGGCAGGACCATAACAAGAACATATGTGTGAACCCCACGCATGGGGGATGGGACCACAAACTCTTCTATCCCCATTGGCAAAGGAGGAATCTATCTTCCAAGGTCTAAATGTTTTGATTTTTCCCAAGGCCTAAGCAATCTCCTCGGTGGAACCTAAGAGTCCTAGAACAGGTCTCCAGATCAGCGGGCCCCAACTTGGGCCCCCAAATGTCCCTTTGTGTTGGAGGTGAAAGCAGCCCTGGCCACTAAGGGCTGCCACTGTGCCCAGACAAAGGGACCGGGGTCACCGGGAGCTTTCTCTCTTTCAGGCTGTGGATCCAGACACAGGCCCCTGGGGCAAAGTCAAATACTCTCTCTCTGGGACTGGGGCTGAACTGTAAGTAGAGCCAGAAGTTTGAACAGCCACCTGGGTGGGGAATCTGATGGGGGTGAGGGGGGCCTCTGGGTGAAAGGCAGGGGTAAGTTAGCAGGGACCAGAGCCTGGGTCAGGAAAGCGAGCACAGGGGTGAGGAGTGGAGGGGACCGTCTGGGTGAACTGTGAGCACACGTATGGGAGATGTGGGCAAGTAGGAGAGAAGGAAGATCATTAGCTGCAGCATTGGACAAGGGCCCCAGGTGAAGAAGCAAGCAGTGGGGGGGGGGGAAGGGGGGGGAAGGCAGGCTATGGTGAGACCAGAAGGGCTGCAGGTGGAGCGATTGAGCTCACTATTGATGAGTAGGAGACAGAGACAGAGAGAGAGAAGCAGGGTGGAACCTTCCAGATGCTGCATGATGCCTATTGCTGCTTCCCAGAGGCAGCTCACTAATGCAGGCCCACGCGCGCGTGTGTGTGCGTGCATGTGTGTGTGTGTGTGTGTGTGTGTGTAAAGGGTTCGTTTGTGAGCATGTGTGACATCTGGTGTGTGTTGAGTGTGGGCATGTATGCATGTGTACAAAGGGTGTGTCTGTATATGCACGTGCACGCATGTGAGCTGTGTGTGTGTGCACTACACACACAGGCCTGTGTGCTCTGTGCGTCCTGCGGCTGACAGGTTCCTGATCAACCCCTCCACGGGGATCATCTACACCCAGCCCTGGGCCAGCCTGGATGCTGAGGGAACGTCCAGGTATAACTTCTACGTGAAGGCGGAGGACGCGGAGGGCAGGTCCAGCCTGGCTGAGGTCTTCCTCACACTGCTGGATGTCAACGACCACTATCCCCAGTTTGGACAAAACATTCAGGAGAAGACCATGGTGCTGGGGACCCCACTCAAAATTGAGGTGAGCTTTCTTTGGTTATGGAGACTCTTTCTCTGAAAATTTCCAAGAGGAACTGTGGCCCCTAAATTAAATATGTGCACCTCTGTAACTATTTATGTACATCAGCATAGATCCATATAAATATTGATCTATTTATATACATATATATGATGCCTATCATGTGCAAGGAATTTTAAGGTACTTTATAGAGTATAAAGTACTATATACTTTATACTCGGCCTAGAATGAACCTGTGAGGTGGAAGATATTATTGCCACAAGTAAAAACATGCCGGTGGATGAGGCATTCTGTAAGTCCACGAATAGTAGTTTTGGTAGAAGCATCGCGTGCAGGAAAGGCAAATCCATATCCAGAGTGGGTGTCTATTCCAGTAAGAACAAAATGCTGTCCCCTCCATGATGGAAGTGCTCCTATGTAATCAACCTGCCACCAAGTTGCTGGTTGATCTCCCTGAGGAATGGTCCCATATCTTGGACTTAATGTTGGTTTCTGCTGCTGGCAAATGGGGCACTCAATAGTGGCAATGGCCAAGTCAGCCTTGGTGAGTGGAAGTCCATGTTGCTGTGCCCATGCATAACCTCCATCCCTGCCACCATGTCCACTTTGTTCATGTGCCCATTGGGTGATAACAGGAGTGACAGAAGAAAGAGGAGGACCAGTCTCCACAGCGCGTGTCATCTTATCCACTTGATTATTAAAGTCCTCCTCGTCAGAGGTAATCCTTTGGTGAGCGTTCACATGAGATACAATTATCTTTACTTTCTTGGCCCATTCAGAGAGGTCTATCCCCATACCCCTTCCCCACACCTCCTTGTCA